AGCACTAAGCTCGAAGTTGTTGACGAGTATGTTTACCTGGGACAAATAGTCCGACTAGGTAAGTCTAACTTCGACCGAGAGGTCAATAGACGGATTCAACTCGGCTGGGCATTGTTCGGGAAACTAAGACACATCTTCTCGTCAGACATACCCCAAAACCTTAAAACGAAATTGTACAACCAGTGCGTGTTGCCAGTGATGACTTACAGATCTGAGACGTGGTCCTTCACTGCTGGCCGTATGAGGAAGCTCGAGGTCGCTCAGCGAGCTATGGAGAGGGCTATGCTCGGGGTTTCTCTGCGTGATAAACTTAGAAATGAGTACATCCGCAATAGAACTGCCATATCATATCTAGCTCGAAGAACCGATAACCGATGGGAAGAAAGTTTCTCGAGTGGCAGCCTCGTACCGATAGGCGAAGTGTAGGGCGACCCCCCACTAGATGAAGTGACGACCTGGTAAGACGTGCAGGAAGTCGATGGATGCAGGTGGCTCAGGACCGTGTTTTGTGGCATTCCTTTGGGGAGGCCTATGTTCAGCAGTGTACTTGTGAAGGGCTGTAATGATGATGATGCTGAGTTACATCCATATAAAAGATGCAGGACGACAAGACGCAGAAGCCAACCAACTAGGACAAATGGTTGTCCTTCCATCGTCTTTTACGGGGGGGACCTAGGTATATGCACGAAAGAACACAGGCTACTATAACCTATGTTTTGGAATTAAAATTAGAATTGGAATTACGGCCGGTCTGATTTTTTTATCACTTTCACATTAACAGTGGTAGAGCCACGCGGCAGCTTTTGCTGTCGCACGGATGGGCCGGCTCGAACCGGAGTGGTACCACGACCTCGCAGAAAACCAGCGTGAAGTAGAGATTTACCTCTGCATTTCGCTCGGTGAGTGCAGGTGGCCGGAGACCCTTTTTACTGGAAATGAGGCATTCCATCTTAGTCCTCACGGGTGACAACGCATCTACATTTTGATTTGTAATAGAGGATAGATGTAGATGTCTATGGGCCGCAGCAACCACTTACCATCAGGTGGACTGTGTGCTTGTTTGTCACCCTTACCCTATAAAAAAAAATGCAATCCTCGCCGGAAAGACGAGATAAAATAACAATTCCTTTAAGGATAACAATCTCATGATAGACACGATATAATTTCGAGGGTGTTTCGACTAAACGTGAAAAAGATCATGAACTTATTGATAAAGATCAAAATATTTGTGAAGTGCGATGTTATATGTACTAAACGGAATGGCGAAAGAGAGGTACTCCGGATCAAATTGACAACATAATTTGTGTGAATTACCGGATCTCAAACGTGACCCAGAGCTTCACGAAATGTGGATGTGGAACTTCAAATCGAAAGTAACCATGTATGAAAGATAACATGTACAGTAAACGATACCTCAGGGCTCTCATAAGCAAAACTCAAATTGGTGAAGACGGTTATCCGCAGTATAAGAGACGTTTACTAGATGGCGGTGGGTTCTCTGTTGATATCAAAGGCTCAACCATAGATAATTGCTGGGTAGTCCCTTATAATCCAGTATTATTAAAAACATTTAACGCTCACTTGAATGTGGAATATTGCCATTCGGTGTGTAATATAAAAGTGTTCAGACTAGGCATCGTTTGCATTAGAGAATGAGGACGATGAAGTTAAAATCTACACAAGTGGAAAATATATAAGTTCAACAGAGGCTGTATGGCGAATCCTTGATTTCCCATTTATGAGCGTTTCCCTCCCGTAGTTCACCTCGCTGTTCATTTCGAAAATGGGTTAAGGGTTTATTTTAATGAGCAAAATCTGATTTAAAGAGTGAATAGTCCTCCAACAACCACACTCCCATCCTCTTTCGATTTGTGTAAAATGGATAACTTTCCAAAAACATTGCTCTATCTAGAAGTACCTGCATACTACGTTTTGTGTAAAACAAAGTTCCAAAGGAGAAAGGGAGAAGCAAACGTTGAAGGCTGGCCAGTGGTAAAAAAAGCACGTTCTGGGCAGGGTTTATACTGTGCATCCAAAAAATATACAGTGCTATCACCTTCGCTTGATTCTTCATGAGATCTGGAGCCCAATTTCGTTTGAAGCATTAAAAACTGTAGGTGGTCATGTATATTCCACGTTTCAATCAGCTTGCAAAGCTCTCGGCTTGCTTGAAGATGATCAGCATTTGTTCGCAGCAATGGAAGAGACAGCGCTTTGCCAATCATCGCAAATGTTTCGGAATCCTTTTACGATTAGCTTAGTGTTCTGCCAAGTATCAGACCCATTTAGCCTTTGGGAGAAATTCAAAGAATACCTATCTAAAGATATTAAAAGGCAATTAGAAAGACAGGGAAATGTGGATGTAGAGCACAAAACAGATGTGGTATTTAACAAATGCCTTTCGGTAATAGTAGATGCCGTATTAGCGTTGGGTGGACGGCTACTAAAAGAATATGGGTTACCTCAGCCAAGCAAATAATATAAATTTTCAAATAGAGAGTTTCTTAAAGAGACAAGTTACGACTTAGCGTCTTTAGAAAACACAGTTAAAAATAATGAAGGATCACTGAATGACGAACAAAAAGCAGTTTACAATCAAATTAACACAAAAATTGAATCAAATCAGAGTGGAATATTCTTTTTAGATGCTCCCGGTAGAACAGGCAAAACATTCCTCATAAATTTGCTATTAGCAAAAGTTAGAAGTACTCGCGGAATTCTACAACTTATTATTACTAAAACTAAGACATTTTTTATTACAACTAAGAAATGTTATCGACTACTGTCATTATGTGTTTAGACGAGGTGCTATCGCATGGGCACTTGTCGTCGTCTGTGATTTTAAATATATATATGTATAAATAAAATTTATGAAATCCGTGATTTGTAAGAAACTTAGTCTTATGAAAACTTGTCGTGATTAAGGATCTAAGTTTTTAATGTCTTCTAAACTAGGTAATAGTTCTTTAGTGTATCGGCCTTGTTCCGCGCTATCATATCTAGCTTGCCAGGTGGTTAGGTTGTCTTTTTTGATTCTGTGCTTAACGTAAGAGATGGGCGTAGCAAAGTAATCCGGTTTTTTGTGTAACTTGGCTCCGGCATTAGCCGCTAAGTCAGCTGCCTCGTTACCAGTGATGCCAACATGACTTTTGACCCAAGCCTGACTCTACCATATCTTTGTGTGTACATAATACGATGTATTTGTGTTATAATTGTAATAAAACAAAAGAAAATAATTTTGCTGAAGTATTAATTATTATTATTACACTATTTTATATTATTATTATTAAACTATTTTTACCCTTAGAAATTGTAGTTTACTTATTAGAATTTTTCTACAATGGAAACATACAAAAGGTCCATATCCTAAGAGGAAAAAAAATAGCAGGCTTAAATGTAAAACTTTTATTTTCAGATAATTTTAAAAAATAAATTTTGATGTTTACTTTTATTTTTAATACTTAGATATTCACCGACATGGATTTTATTTAACGAACAATAGATTTATAGAAATCTTAAATAATAATTAACAGTATTGATGAGTATAATATTATGAAAGCTTATCTATTATCACCTATTAACATCTCCATAATAAGTCTTATATCAATCAATCAATAACGATAAGAATATTATAATATTTTGTATTTCTTTACACAATATATTTTACAATGAATATTATAACTCTTATAAATTTTCTTCATATAAAAGAAAGTGGAGATATAGGCTTAGGCCTGAAGGGAGGCCTAAGAAAAGATGGAGGACCTGTTTTAGGGAGGATATGCGTAATAAAGGAGTAAGTGAGGAGATGACGGTTAAAATAAAACTAAAAATTCAAATATTATTTCAGGAACGACGCATATTATATAAATAAACTTGGAAAATTAATTTAAAATTTAAATTTTATCCAAATCGTTAGATTCATTTCCGAGATATATATATATATATATATTTGCAATTTGAGAGCAATTTTATATATATATATATATATATATATATATATATATATATATATATATATATATATACATATATATAAAATTGCTCTCATAAATAATATAAATTTAATCTAGCAATAACAATTAACTATACTTAATCCTATAACCTAATAGCATGTACAAATTAAATTTAAATAACAATAAAGTAAAAAAGTTTACAAAATATATCCAGTCAGATCTTTTAGATATTTTAAATTCTGCGTCTACATTTTTAGCATAAATTATTGTACAAAATATAACTTGCTTTTATATATGGACGTCAAAAGTTAGCAACCTAGTAATCGAGTGAATACTAGATTTTATCATTGACTAGACATATAAAATTATATTTTATAAAAGACCATACTTAAATATATAAAATTATATTGTATTTAAGTATTGTCTAAAATGTCGTTAAGTTTATTAGTCTAAAACTTTATTTATAAAATTAAAAGTACATATTCGAGATGTATAATCACTGGATAACCCGCATTCAAAGTTATTAAATTATTTACAAAAAATCCGTACAATAAGATACGTCTTTTAATTACTGCAAACAGTTGCCAAAAACTTAAATGACAATGAATTCGTAGTGATTGGTGAGAGTCTATATATCGAATATATATATCTGTATCTACAATAATCTAATGTCTTCGTTATTGGAGTCATTGTTATGGTGAAAGAAACAAGCGCAATATTTTAATGTTATATTTACATTATTGTAATTTTATATTTACAGTTTATAATGTGACGTCTATTGGTTGTGTAGAAGGTATATTTCTAAACATGCTAGAAATTTAATTACCTTACTTAACAATTTATGACGGTATCAAAAAAACTCCTTGAGCTTAAGTATTAAAACGGTTGGCATAAAATGTAAGTAATTTCATATCTTCATATGCAAGTCTGTAACTCAATTTAATGACTATCTGCTAGCCAAATGTGGATTTAAATTGTCATCTAAAAATATTTACAACTACTTTAAATTAAACACAGCCAAGTGCGCACTGACTTTCTTGTGTGACGCTACGCATCATCGTTAGGTACCACTGTGCTTGGGTACACTCCATTACTTTCCACCTTCAATTCGCCACTGACGATTTGTTGAAGCTGATTTTCATATGCATGGGAGTCCGAGATCTCCAACTTAATTAGCAAACTCCTCACCACGATTATCAAGTAAACGTGTAAACCTGTTGAAAGTAAATAAAAGTTAGGAAAAAAATATGAAAACTATAATTATTAACCTAAAGCCTTATCAAATATTTTAACCCTTTCGCTGTCCCGTGCACTACATATAGGTCATTGCTATTGTCTTACTATTGTGTCTGAAAACCGAACAGTGAAAGGGTTAATATTAATGTCCTCCAGACCAAATTTCGACAAGTATCTACGGCGACTAGTCATTTGCACAGGAAATAATTATAGATTATAACGCGTGTGTGCGCAAACACAGATGCTCTCTCTAATCCCTATCATAGTCATTGGACGAAGCGCAAAACTAACGGCTTTGCAACTGCTTTACGGACTGTTACTGAGAATTTCTTGACAGAAAATTCCAGTAACTGATTTTGGCTTGACCTGAGATTCGAAACCGGAACCACATGATCAGCAGTCGCCCTTACTACTACTAGGTCAAAGGGACAATCAAATAATTTTAGTTTAATTTATAATATTTTAATAAACTATTTAAATGAAGGAAGTCGAGGGATGTGTGGCATTCCTTAGGCAAGACCTATGTTCAGCAGTGCACTTGTGAAGGGCTGTAATGATGACGATAATAATAAATATTTAAATAAACAAATAAACGGCAAGTGATCACTGCAGCCGATAGATACACGTAACCAACATTACTACTACGTGTTAGGACTGTTTTATTGCCTAGGAGTCCATTTGGATATACACAATACAAATACAATTTCTTCCGCCATTTTATTTGTAGTACATGGTATAGAATAGAATAAAAAAGAATTGTTTTTATTCAAAACTAGCAAGTAACCCTGCGAAACTTTTTTCCTAAACAGTAATTTACAATATAATATTTTATACGATAAAGTATGAAAACGTTCAAAATAATTATGGTAGCTATAATTCATTACCAGGAGTTTTTATCAACCACATACTCTTTAGTAAAATAATAACACTTATTAAACAATTTTCGCTTAACTTTTTTTTTAAATTTTGATAGATATATTCTGTATAATTTTCTGGGACTTTGTTTTAAAAGCGTATACATAGCCCATAAAAAAATTACTGAATCTTTGGAATCGAGTAACTGGTATAACTAGCTCGTTTTTGTTCCTAGTATTTACTAAATGTATATTATTCTATACACATTAAATATAGTAGTATCGAGGTCATCGCTTATTGCAAATTATTGGGAAGAGCTTGATATAACACATTATATTAAATTTTCATTAATATATTGAGAGTCAAAGTTAATATATATGTATTTAAAATATTCTCTAAGGAATTATTTTGAAACTAGTTTATAAATTGATCTTATTGCTCTCTTCTGCGAAACAAAGATAGTTGCAATGTCAGTCACATTACCCCGTAGCAAGATTCCATTACATTATGCTATGAAAATAACTAAAATAAACTAATCTAGCTGTTTCAATAAATGTAAGACCTGTAATCTTTTTATATCATAATATGCTGCAAAACTATGTTTGCTAGCTAGTTTAGATACGTGGGGGCCCCATTGAAGCTTCACGTCCACTCTAATTCCGAGAAAATTCATTGGATTCAACAAAATTCTGCTCTCCCCCATTTAAAAGCACAGTTGTATTCGTAGATTTAACATTTGGTGATATAAATTTAATACATTTAGTTGTATTTCCGTTTAAAAGCAAATTGTTAACGTTAATCCAGTGTACTACTTTTGATATAGCATTATTCATTTCGTCATATTTTTGTAATTACCTTTTATTGTATTTACCGTTTAAGTCGAAAAATCAACGAAGTGTCATCAGCAAATAAAACTATATCATGGTTATTCTCTACCAAGTAAGGTAAGTCATTAATATAAACTAAGAACAGGAAGGGGCCAAGACTGTAGCCCTGAGGAACACCCATAGATATAACTAACCCGGAAGAACTACAACCATTAATAACAACTGTTTGCGTTATAATATTTAAATATAATGTAGTAAGTTTAAGGGTTTTGGTTTTTACATAATGATATAGCGTTCTAATTAATATATCATGGTGAATGCAATCGAAAGCCTTGCAAAGATCGCAAATGTATGAAAGATCTCAACATAATAAATTAAATCAGCTTAATACCGGCCTTATGCTCCGCTGTATTTCGATATTAAGGGTATAGAGAGCCATTATAATTACAGGCTGTCAGGTATTCCATATTAATCCTCATAGGTGACAACGCATCTGTAGTGTAATGTCAGTTTGTTTGCCACTTAATAAAAAAAACATCAAAGAAACAAAACTCGTCGTCACTCTCCTACCCTTCATTCAATCCAAACAAAATAATAGAAAAACAAAATGTTAGAATTAGTGTTTTTTTATACGTGGTAGAGCCATGTTGCAGCTATATTAATAGTATAGTGTAGCACGAATGGTTCGGCTCGACCGGGGAAAGACCAGGCTCTCACAAAATACCAGAGTAAAATAGCAGCTTAACGCTGCTGTGTTTCGTATGGTGAGTGTAGAGAACCGGAGACCCTTTTTACTGGAAAAGAGGCATTCCATCTTAGTCCTCACCGGTGACAACGCATCTGCATTTTGATTCGGAGACGAGGATAGATGTAGATGTCTATGGGCTACAGCAACCACTTACCATCAGGTGGTCTGTGTGCTCGCTTTTCACCCTATCCTATAAAAAAGTGCTGCTTAGTGGCAGAAATAGGTAAGAGGATGGTCTTTCCGAGGACGAAGAGTGCAGATAAGGAGCTCCTAAAACTCAGTGATTTTTCCATTATTACGCATAATGGCTGTGGCAGCCATATGTTATAGAGAACCCACTACAAATCTGTAATATAGTGGTGTCGCAAAAGTCGACTGTGAAAAATTAATAAAATATGTCATGGCCTTGTATAGATAATGTTTTTGATTTACTTTGAGTGACGTTTTTTACATTAGAACAGGACGTTACTTACATAGACCAGCTACATATAAAGCTAGCATTTCAATCACCAATCCAATGTGAAAAGTACTCGCTAAGCCAATTATTTCCACAATGAATGTCATAAGCGCTGTTGCTATTGCGTAATAGTAGAAAGATTTTAAAAATAATAAATTTCTCTGAAACAAACAATGACATAAAATCATTAATATTAAGTAGGAATGTATATAAAGAAGTACAATTTATGCTAAAGAGTCCATTAAAATATCTCATCACGTGGTCAATGTCGGCTAGGGTTTTTTTTTTAATTACAACCTCAGACAGATGGCGATTTAAATGTGTAATTTACATTCTAGCTGTAAAATACCCAGATATACGGTGGAGTGCAACATTTAAAGTAGGTACTGCGATCGGAGATCCACCTGCCAAGAAATCTTTCAAGATTTTGTGGCAGGTAGGATATAGTCCTGTAGTAGTAAACTCTAATGGAAAATTATTCATTAACTTTTTTTAGGAACTAAGTATAGAAAATTGTTACATCAGAAAAAACATCACCCAATTTAATCCTAGGGATGCCGTAAGAGCTACATATGCCAGAATACCTCACGGTTTCCAATCGTTAGGGGTAAATCCAGCGTGAGCAGCGTCAAAAGCGAGAATGGTTTGCTACTGAGATCGTACATTTACTTGATACGCGTGGCAATCAAAGCAAATCCATCCTAAGGAAGAGGTTCAAATTCAGCAATGGATTTTTATGGATGACATACACTCCACAGATTATTGTAAAAGGAACATTATTAATCACCGGAAATTCACAGATTATTCGGTTAATATTTTGTTAGCAACATTTTAAATTTCTTAGCGACTGTGCGAATTATGACCACAGAGTATTATCTGTTTGACAATCTTAATATATAAATGTTAGCTTTCTGCACTTCCTCTCTATATAAACTTTATCTATGCAAAATCTTACACTCCTCCGGGCACGGAATATAAAGCATATTATATAAAAAGAGTAAAAAATGTTTTCTTCATTTATTAATATATAGATATCAAAATAATATTTTTCCACGGATTTTCACTAACAACTTTTTAGCGGTCAATCAATTCTTAATTCAAAACGAAAATGTTTTTAATCTTTAAATTTATTTATTTTTTATACATTCATGATGCTCGAGATGTGGTAGAAATAATATAATTAGACTTCATGTAGGATGATAGTCATATCCCAGAACAATTTTGCGGAAAACATCACGTACTCTGGAACTACAATGCTAACAACGGACGCTCTATTTGTCGTACGAATTGAGTGTTAAATGAGATCATCGCTTTAAAACGGTACGACACTAACTGTAATTTTAAATGAAGCATTGCATAAACGTACTTTGAAATTTATTTGAAAACTAGCTGTCCTTCGCGACTTCGCCCGCGTGGTATTTACTACGATTTCACGGGTTTTAATTTTTTCACGCGGAATCCTAATTTTTTTTCTGAAATAAAAGTATCCTAAGTTACTCGTTATAACATCAGCTATCTGCCAGTGAAAGTCCCGTAAAAATCGATCTAGCCGTTTCGGATATTAGCCGGAACATGCAGACAGACAGACAAAAATTTTTAAAATTGTTGTTTTGTTATTAATACCGTTTTATACGCATTTAGTAAAAAGCTGTTATTTTAACATTACAAACAGACTTACAATTTTATTTATTTGTATATGAGATCGAGTCAAAATTACATTATGTATGTTAATTTTATATTCATCTTTGTTTTAAATTCCTCAATATGTGACAGTCCATTACTGTAAATTAGCTTCTTCATTGAAGAGACGATTTGCTTTTTTGGATGGAAATAATCTACTATTTGCTATTCGCTTACTTGCTACTTTTAAAACATTTAAATTTTAAATCCTGTAATGAAATGAAATCGTCTTGTGGCGAGAATC